TCATCTGCCCTTCCTTCTACTCAAGCAATCCCTACTGTTTCATCAATGGACCAGTTGGATAACTGGAAGCTTTCTAACGGTTTCATTGTGGGAGATGGAAACTGCCTTTTCAGGGCAGTGGCAATTTGGGTTCTGGGCGACCAAGAAAAACATGGGGAAATCAGGAAGACTTGCTGGAGAGAGCTTGTGGAAAATCGGGACGAATACGCACCATATGTCACTGAAGATGACCTCAGAAATCCAGGCAACCCTGTGCCGCAAGCCATTGTTGATGGGGCTAACATTTACGATGTCTTTCTGGAAAAAAGCTTAACCAACCGATTTTGGGGTGGGGATAAACACTTGTCTGCACTTGCACAAGCTCTTGGGATCCGAATTGTTGTGCTAACCCAACAACGGGGAACTTTTGGATATCAACCTAGAACCAGACAGCCGGAGAAAACCATCTATGTGTGGTATAACGGCGGAACACACTATGAAATCATTTGGAATAAAAAACTTCACAGGCCTCAATCAGCGAAGAAGAAAACACCCCAAAAAAATATGCTGCCAGGGAAGCCTCTACTCAAGCCGCCATCCATTGCAAAAAGTGTTTCAAATGTAATCCCTGATGCTCCAAAAGGCAAGAGAGTATCTTTTGGCACCTTGGTTCTTGAGAAAACAATGACCACCGGCAAAACTATGATGCATATTGACCCAAGACTTCAATCTCCCCCCAACTCTAATGCCCCATCCATTTCCACAATTGCAAGCATCCGTAAAAGCCAAGATCAGAATCCCACCTCACCGAAAAACTCTACTCAACTCAAACATCCAAATTTTGTAGTTCCTCCTACTTTTGCCTTTGCTGGGACTCATCCACTTCCTGAAAAATTGAAGAAGAAGAAGAGAAACAGGATGCCTGGATTGGAGAAGAGTCATGGATTGCCTGTTGTTTCTGGCTATTGGAACACATTAAACGAACGGTTGCGGTTGGAAACTGGAAGAAACAAGAAGACTCTTCCTTATGGCGTCATACGGTTTGCCATCCCCGAGGGCCTTTTGGATGGTTGGCGCATTTCACATGACTTTATTCAAACATCACAGTCTGTCTCAGCTCCAGATATTACTGGCTTCTACCATGCGGTTGCTTACTGGATGACCGGCACACAAGATCGCCATGCAATTTTCCAAAAGCTCTTGGCCGACAAATTAGGAGGTCAACTACCTCAAATGTCAAGGGATCAACAAAAGTCATCAAGATTGGTGAATGTGGAAAACAAAAACCTTTTCTCTGTTGGCGAAATAAAGAAGGCTTTCCAATTGGTTTTTGATGGTAAAAAACCAGACAAAGTAGTATATACTACTGCTGCAACCATGTTGAGGGTTACTTTTGTTGAGGTGGTGATGGGGCCAAGCCCTGCTAATTGGATGCAGTACTCACCAGCTGGACACCAGAATACAGCTTTTCCTTGTCTATACTTCATTTTCAATTCCGTTTCCAGACGGTTCCAAATCATGTGGGCACCAAAGATTCATCAGCCAGTAGTTGGTCCCGAAAACTCTGATCTTCAAACACGCTTATCTGGTAATACCACTTTGTTTTCCAACACGCAATCAACACCATCCCTCGACCATACATTGCCGGTACAGATATATCATCCTTCAGAAAAATCTACCTTGGGAACCTCCAATTGGGATACTTCACCGCCCCAGAAACGCTTCAAAATAATCCCAACAGGTGAAAAGCCAATTCTAACCCTGGAGTCGTATTCCATGCCCACCATTGAAGACTTGAAGACAGTCAATTTTGGTCCAGCTTCTGGGATTCATATATTCCACCAGAAAAAATCATGCAATCCCCAGTGCCGTGCAGTTGCCAAGACAGCCTATTTTGAGTTGGGGAATTTCAAATATGTTGGATGGAGATTTTCAATCAACCTTTTTCCAGACAACAAGGACTCCATATGGCGTGCGCTCAGCTTTTGGATATATGGCAGTCAAGGAAGACATAACGAGATCAGAATGTCATGCGAAACCAGGCCCCATGTTCTCAACAACCCACTCAAAGACCCTCCTGAGTTTCATTCCTCAGAGATTCCAGGGCTATTGAGGGAAGTATCAAACAAATATCGGGCAAGAATTGTACTTGTTTGGATTCATGATGGAATTGCAAACTTGCGAGAATTCAATCCACGTTACATTGATGAAGATGATGAACGCTTGGTTCCCAGGAATTACTTCATTTACAGTTGGAAAGGAAGATTTGGGGTTTTTTATTGTCACCACCACTTGTGACTGTGTAAGCATTTCTTTGTTTTGAAATTTTGTGAACAATCACTGAATATTCATGTTTCCTTTTTCCAGTTCTGCTTTTGATTCTTTAATTTTTCTTGTTCATAAATTTTGCAAACAACCTTTTACCTTTCAGTCATGTTTGGTTTTTTTCCTTTCTTGTTTATATTTGTTTTGACCTTACTGAGATGAAGATTTCTCCAGATATGGTTTGATTGCTTACTTACACAGCTAGCATCAATGGGTTAAAGATATTTCAGGAATGTCTGAAGTGCATTGTTTTGAATTCATGGGTGAGAAAAAAAAATGAACTAATACAAGTCAGAAAGGTAAAAATTAAAAAAAACATTCAACCTGGATTCAAAAGCCAGTATTAAATGACAACAACAATTCATTGGGTTGAAATGAGGGGCTCAAGAATTTAAAAAAATATTTGTGGGGGTTGAGAATGAGATAATGAGGGAGCATTTTGTTAAAAAGATGGTTTTACTTTGGAAGAAAGTTGATGTTGAGAGAAACAAGGAAGTTGATCAGCTTCATCAAATAACTTGTTGGACCAGCCAGCATAACGGGAGCTCTGGTATTTGTATGGCACGTTCGGCAGCCCATCACCTTTGAGTCTGCGGATCTTGTCAACTATAGACCATCTGAGCTCTTGTTGCACTGGTTTGCTCTACAAGTCAGTTGATGCAGCATGAATGATTATGTTGTTTTGAATTTCTGGTTTGTAGGAGCAGTGGAAGAGTCCACAGGAGGAACATATTTATTGAGCTTTTAGTTGGTGAATGGGGAAATTTTAGTAAATTTGATTTAATTTCTGAGGACAATTGTTGTTTATTGGTGGAAAGAGAAGCATTGATTGTGTGTTGTTGTGCAAGTTGACTCTGGTGTTGTTAATTTGTTGTTGGCTGATTTGAAATGTGGAAGTTATTATCTATATCTTTTCTGATAGGATCATTTTTTATTGCTGGTTGTTGTTGGGAGAATGTGGTGGGGTGACTTGGAAGAGGTGAATTGTGTTTGGATGGAATGTTTTGTTGTGTTTTGAGATGGTGGTTGCTGTTGGTTGGGTGAGTTGTGTTGATAAGCTTGGTTTTTTACATCAGAGGGAGAAGGTGGTTGATTGTGTTGATTGATGAGGGAAAAGGTACAAGAATGAATGATTTGTATTTCTGGATCAGCAAAATCAAGCTGTAAATAGATAAGAAAACATGGAGGTTATGTGATGAAGTGAGTATTAATTTATTCTAATAATGACCGGAATGTGTGCTAGGAAATATGCTTATGATGAGAAAGAGAAAAAAAGAGAGCTGAAATACTAACAGATTGTTGTATAAAATTGGGTTGAACTGTCCATGTTTGTTGGTTATTGGAGGAGGAATGTGGTTGGTGGGTGTATAAGTTGGTGAGGAGAGGAATGGATGTTTTTTTTTTGTGATGGAATATGTTTTCATGGCTCTAATGGTGGAAGCTGAGGTAGTTTGAAAGTGTTGTATGTTAGTTTGAATTGTTAGTGACCAAGTGAAAAAGTGAGGCCCTGTGGTTGTGTTCCCTCATGGAACAAAAACATACCAAGTTGAAATAAACCAATGGTTAGACAGCGGCTTGGCATTGTTTTTGAGGAGGTCACGGGTTCAAAACCCCCTGGCGCCGAAAAAAAAAATTATGCGGGTCATTTGATATACAGTTTCTGCGGGGGATAATTCATACAGTTTGGGGGTTAAACATACAGTTCAGGGGATAAAACATACAGTTTGGGGGTTTCAGACATTGGCTTTGTGGGATTAAAATCATGCAGTTTGGGGGCTAAACAAATCATACAGTTTGGGGGTTTAATATGTTAACTTTGTTGGATTTTGCGCAAGCATTTTGATATGCAATTCCTCGCTGATAAGTGGGACGTATGCAATGTAATTCATCATGCAATGCAATACTTCATGCAATATGAAGCTTATCATGCAATATGAAGCTTATTATGCAATATGAAGCTTATTATGCAATATAACTTGGTAGAATATTGCTACCCTGGCCCTGGGGAGTCCCTTGTAACCCTATATGTGATCAGCTATTCCCAGGCAGGGAACCACTGGACTAACCCACCCCTCTACATAAACCAACTTCACATATTAGATTCCCCCCCCCCCAACCAGTAGTCCACGATCACACAATTAGAGTCATGCCCCCAAGCATGTGGAAGTCAAAGAAATTGGATGCCACTCATGTGCTGATGTTCCTAACCCTCACCCTCTGGATCATAACTAAACCATCTAAACATATCATACTTGCATTCAGGCCGAAACAAATGAGCAACTAGCATTAGACATCCTGAAATATGTGCCAACACAATGAGAAATCAACCAAAGAAACAATCTGGCAACAAACTAATAACAGGCAAATTTAGGAACCCAGGGGCATATGAGATAGCAAGAGGGAAAATCGTAGAGTAATATCATCTAATCAATATCAAACTATCACTTTGGTGATATTGGATCAAGGCTACTAATAATTTAACAACATTCGGCCATCCAATGCGACTAACTGTCTTCTCAGTCTTCCCTAACCAAGAAGAATAGTCAACAGGGCTGAAATCAAGAAGAGAAGGGAACTTGTTTCTCAGGAGGCCATGCTTTTCCCAATACATGAGCCAAGCCAGTATTTCACCAGAATCACCCAAACCTGATTCACAAGCTTGGCCAATCCTACGGTTAGGGTGGAATTTATGCCTGTCACGGCCACCTGAGGGCAAAGCACAAGCAAAACATACTGTGTAACCCACTGCCTTTGTACCAGTTGTCAATGACTTCGAGGGAGGTAAAGCCTGACAGCTTCTCGCAGTATGGCCTTGTGGGCCCGTTTGTCCTGATAGCCAAAAGATAGTGTCAGCTTCAATACCTGCAGGCACCTTTGGAATAACATCCCACTTACTTGCTTTGCATCTAAGGCACCTGTTTTTCAGAACTTCACAATCACACCCCCTGTCATGGCAAACATAGTCACCTGACCACAAATAGCAGGCTGGACAATTACCATTCATCTTGGCAATGAAATCCTTCAGGAGAGATGCTTGATGGTCTTCCTCCGCATGTAATTCTACCGCACTGGTTGAGTCTACCAGATTGACCGAAGCAGGCTGCTTGGGGAAGGTGGGTATCTGGCTGGGCTCTTGAATTCTCCTCTCCTCTGCCACCCTAGCAATCTTCCGAAAGTGTACCTCATCCATTCCTTCAGTTCCAGTTTCCATGATATCAGGAGTCCTTAGTCTTTTACCAAAGGAATTTCGATTGGAGCCTCCCACTGATACCAACTCCACATCATCTATGCCTGAAGCTCTTGGAGAAGTGTGGAATTGGCCATCAGTCGTGTTGCTTCCAGAGTCCTGTTGAATTGGAGGAGGCTGAATAGGAAGAGGTCTTGGTGGTAATTCGTAGGGGCCTCTGACACCCAGGTTTCTTGAGTGCCTTCTGCAAGCTAGGCACTGTCGAAAAGTCGGATAGTTCTTGCAAGACATGGCCTGCTCATCTTCTAGTCTGGAGAATACCTGGGCGGGACAATTCATTGGGTTCCCCAGAGCCTTCTTGAAGTCGTCCATTCCTGGTTGGTCTTCTGCATTCCCAATCGGATGATCGATTGGTCCAGGTATCAGCTCGATTCTTGCTTCATTTCCATCCCTACCAGCCCTTCCAATCTGCTGATACACTTTGTTGGCCTCCGATTCGTTTGGAATTCCGTAGATGATGACAAGTCGAACATGAGCATAGTTGATCCCTGCGCCAAAGCCACTAGTAGCCACTATGACTCCACGATCTTTTCCAAGCCACGCAGCCGCATTTGAGTCCCTTTCCTCATCCGTCAGACCCGAGTGATGAAAAAAGCAATCCAGTTGTTCTGCAACATCACCAACATCCTTCCGATTTTCAATGAAGATCATTGCCCGGTCTTCAGGCTTCACTACATAATTGTGAATCATAGGGGTCGCAATATCAGCCAGCTGGTTTGGCCATGCAAATTCCAAATGCACTTCGATATTCAATTCAGGTCGGAATGTTGACTCCCGAAGGGCATTGATACGGGTTCGTCCAAAGATACTGCTGAGCAAGTCTTGTTCTTGAGAAGGAGGCAGGGAGCCAGTTAAGAGGACAATTTGACAGCAGATCTGGCCCAAGGCTACCACTCCAGGGATGTAGGTTCGAAATCCGTCCTCTAGAAAAGAGTGAGCCTCATCAATGATAATTCGCGTGGGCTGCATCGTCCTGAGTTGGTTGGCAAAGTCCAAAGAAGCCGCATGATCCGCAAGCGCCACAATCACTTGAGCCTCCTTGTCCAATCTAGTATCCTCGAGGTAGAGTTGAGCTTTGACCCCTTCAAGCCGTCGGAGGTCATTCATCGTCTGGTTAATCAGGGCCCTGAGTGGTTGGACAAGGATTGTTCTTTCACGAAAAAACACCAAAGGAGGCAGAGTAAAAGCCAGTGATTTACCACCTCCCGTTTTTGAGACAACCAGTAGGTCCACCAACTTCTCCTTGAAGAGCTCCGTAAGCCACTTGTGCTGAAATTCAGACCGGAATCGAGCATTTGGGTTCTTGGTGAAGATCGTCAGGGCTTGTCTGGCCTTATCAGCTGGGGCAACCTCATCAGCAACTGGCTGGATCGGCTGGTTACATGCCAGTAAAGAATCAATCTGCCATAATCCAGAGATAGGAAGGATGCAATCAGCATCAACACCTCACTTTAATGAGAAAGCACAAGTCATTACTTACACGCCAGAAAGCCTGCCATGCCTCACTAGCCTTCATAAAATTAGTCTCCCCATCTCTTGCTACTCCACTTCCACTACTCCCACCATAAAGCAAGTTGGACGTCATCGAAGTGTGATTGCGCTGAAGATCCATCACATTATTGAGTCCCATATCTTCTTCCAAATCCTGTCGAATGGTCTCTTCATCAGGCAGTAACTGAGCTGGAATCTTCTTGTTGAGGTGGGCTGATGCAATTGCAACAGAAGCTTGTCGCCAAGACCTCATCCCCAGAGCATCGTTTCCTCCAAGGGGGAAGAACTTCTTCATGATTCGAGTAAAGTCGTTTGTTTCCAGACGTCCCTTCCTTGAGCTGACCCAAAGATAATCTTGCATATCTTTGGCTGTATCTACCCTACCAAGGCCAGACAGAATAGCCCTGTTCAAACAAGCCTTTTATCAGTCCTAACCCTAACCCCATCACAAAAGGTCAGCAAACAGAACTTACAATTGGACAGGCCTAATGTAAGCCAAGTAGTTATGGAGCTGCATTGAAAGCTCCCCAGTCAAGTAGACCTGCCTTGGTTTGGATCGGTGAGTGATGTTTTGGCCTTTGTGATACCAAGTCTGTAACATCATTCGATTCCCTCGCCAGTAAACGTTCCTCGGCGCAGACTCCGTATTCCGAATGAGCATACAAGTCTCCTCCGTTCCCCTAGCAGGTTGCCCACAACCAACATGGTACATGAAGTAGATGTATTCAAGCAAGACATCCGTTCTTTCGAGCCATCTCCACGCAGGTCCAGGAGCCCATAACCGCTTAAGATTTGGATTTGGAACTTGGATAACCTCCTCCCAGTTGGGAGCAAGGACTTTTTGAGGATTACCATTCAGAGTCCAATCCTTGAGCACTTTCAGTCGATACAGCTGTTCATTGGTCGATGGCACTAGGTAGTTGTAATGAAGGCTAGTATTTCGAGAATCATCCACAAGTTCAGTCGCCAAGAAATCAGGCAGAGTGACCCCTTTGAGTACGTTTTGGAACTCTGTTCGAAGAGAAGTGATCACCGCCCGGAGACTTGTTTGGACCCCATTAATCGTAATTGTTGAAGGGCCAATCATCAGACGGGTCATTTCAGAGTCCACCCAGTGCGTCTCGTCAGGCACTTGCTCATTCATGATGAAGGTAGAGCCCAGTCTCATCCAGTCCCTGAGAGTCATAAAAGGTGATGCTCGAGAGTCTTGCGAAATCCAAGAGAAGTGTTGCCGCATTTTCGCCATCTCTGCATCATTGCTCAGGTCTTGTTCTTCGTCTTCTTCCAATTCTTCATCATCCATCTCCGACGCTAGAGCCACCCAGTGGAAAGTCAGGCCTAGTCGAATTCCATATTGCACCGCTGCAATGTTATGAGTCAATTCGAGGGGCGCAAAGAAGGATCCATCTTCTTGGATCATAGAGAGTGCTATGAATTGCTCCACAGCCGATTGGACCCTCGAGAGTTTCGCCAGAGAGCAAGAAAAGCCAACATACTGAAACATAGCCAAATCTAGCAACTGGTTGATGGTTTCTTGAGAGGACAACGGATTTCCGACACATCTAGAGAGGCTTGCCAAAGTAGTTTTCAGTCTTAGTTGACGTCTAGACCAGAAAGCCGCCAGTGGAGTATCAAACGTCTTCCAAGTGAACAGCAGCATCTTGCCAATCGTCCTTGCGTATCTGCTCCTAGTCTGTTTCTCCTGCAAGGGAGACAGTCCAACTGTGGGAGCTTCCTTCTCCCTGGGGATAAGACAAATAACAGACATCAGCAGAAGCCCCAAATCAAGACAAACAAAATTGCCCAAGAATAGAATAAACCCAACAAACTCACGTGGATTCTTTCAATCCTTCTTTTCTAAGTCCATAATGAGCCTCTTTCAAGGAATTCATTCTTGTCAACATCCACGCCTCCACGTATTTGATCCAGTCGTCCATCTCATCGGGGTAGTTGACTAGGTCATAGAGCTGAACAGGGGTGCAACCAATGGATGACAAACAGGCGCCTATGTGTTTGTGAATCCCTGAGCTCTCCAGAAAATTGCTGACCAAGGAAGCGTGGACATCGGTATTGGCATTGGCCTCTGGAACCAAAAAGACATCCAGATTTGAAAGCGCATCTTTGAGTTGCTCCCATCTCTCCGTCAGAGGAGTATCCGTAGTATGAGGCCTCCATTCGTCTCCTTCAAGTATCCCACTTATCACGGGCGGCGCAGCTGGAACACGATCCACGCAAAAGTACCTCTTTTTGTGAACCAAGTGTTGTACATAACTTCTTTTACAGTTGTCCTTCCAATGCCCATTAGAGTCTAGAAAGACAATCAGAACAAAGCCAATTATTCAACCCAGTGTCTATAAGCAAAACATAAGAATCTGGCAGTGACTAACCAGTATGTTCCAGACGAAAGTGATTTTTAATCGAGTCCTCTTTTCGAACAGTATGGCCACACTGTTCCCCATGCTTATCAGCAGTACAAATAAACCCCAAGTACATAAAGAGCCCTTGCACAGGTTGGCAAGTGTCTAGACGACCACTTCGAGAGACCGGATATTTCGGCGCAGTTGCAGGGAGGGAGACGCCATGGGAATAGAAGTTAAGAATTATGTCTTCCTGTCTGACCTTCTCTTTGTGAGCATTGTGCAGGTGGGCTTGAACTTCAGGGGTGTCCAGGCCAGTATGGCAGGTGGTACAGATTATAATGTCTGCATATTTGTTGTAGGCAAGGCTTGGGTGCTCAGGCACCACTAAATAAAACAATATTTATTAATAGACTAAAAAAAAGGCAGATGGCAAGGCTAAGGGTAAGTACTGACCAACAAGTTGATCTCCAGGTTGCACCAGAGTCACGAAGTCTCTAGGTGGCAATGTCATCACCCTTGGCTGTTGAAACTGAGCTGGATCACAGTTCTTGACATGTCGTTGTATTCTGACCGGGTCTTCAGTGCTTTCGAGGCATCCATTGGTAGGGCAAGCAAATCGTCCATTATCTTGTCTAGTGAGCCTCAATGTTTCATTGGTCCCAAAGATGGTGCAAGAGACATGAGGTTGGTGAGCTACTCTCTGATGCTTCTTGAGTTGGGTTTTGCTGGGAAATGACAAGTAACAATCTTCCTTTCTACAGGGGTGTTGTTGAGATGAATGTTCTGAAGGAGGGGAGCTCATTGTAGTATAAAGCTTGGACAAGAGGGAGAACTAAATCCAGAAATTTCTTGCAGAAAGTGTTCAAATCTAAGACCTGAAGAGCTGACCCCAGGGGGGGGGGGAGGCCCTCTTTATATAGACAATAGGGGACCCAGACCATGGGAGAGTACAAGCCACTTGAACCAGTTCAATATCTCACCCTAACCCACCCACTACAGAACAAGTACCTTCTTTACACAAAGGTCACCAAGCGCCAGGCAAATTATGAAGCCCCAGACAATGATTACCTTGAAACCAGTCCCTGGTGTAGATCTGCTAGCCTTCTTGTGATCAACCACCAGTAATAAAGGCTTCAACTGTCTAATCCATTGCAGGAGACCACCACCGCATATCAAGATGACTGAGAAACTACAGCCCAAGGAGCAAGGCTTATCCCTCATTGAACTCTCCATGGAGATGGTCAGCAAGATTGAACTGAAGAGGGGAGCCAAATGGAGCGAGAAAAAAGCCAACAAAGCCACCATAGTTCCTCCCCCTTCCACTGTTGCTCTCAAAAGAAAATGTCAAATTTAGCCCAAACCAGCTGCAAAACCATGGTAAGAAGGATCCAGCAACTTCAGAAGAAGAGCTCTCACCTCACTTGCTCAGGTTATATTCTGTGACATCCAAGGCGAAGGAGAAAAGATCCAGATCATGGCATCTTCCAAGTCTGTGTCTCAGACTGAACGCTTAGAGCGCTAGGTGATTTAACCCTAACCCTTATATTTTTGTTTCCATTCCGTCTGGATGATAGTGAATGATCCCAAGGAGCCCAACAATTTCGAACTGACTCATGACATCTTCCGAAGAGGGGATATCATCCAAGTGAACAGAGACATACTGAACAGTACCTCGATCTGATCATGTATAAGGAAGTCAGAGATGTCTTCATCACCTGGGCCCAGGTGATCAAACCTGGCCGACAAATCCTGGATGGACGACCTTGAATTCTTGAAAGTTTTCATTTTCAAGGCGTTTTGACAGCAGCCTCTTGGTCCTAAATTTAACATTTGTGTCGATCTTTCTGTCTATCATTCTGGTTCAGGTCGAATCTCCGATGATGAACATGATTCCTGGTGGTGCCACTGCCAAGCCTTCTATCAGCCACCACAACTCTTTGGGCTTGGACATGTTCTGGCGGATTGCACCCAAACTGTACTTGACAGAGCTCGTCGTGGGTGGACTGGATAGTGGCCAGTGAATATGATATTATCAAAAAGTAACCCTCTGCCCACTTCCGCCAACCCCAAAGATGCGGAAGTGAATCAGACAATACGTACCCGACCAGTGTCGCACTCCCGCTAATTTCATAGTCGCGGAAGTGGTTATGTAGTTATATGTTGTTATCAAACCTTGTCCATATCCCCACTTCCGCCTACATTGAAGCCGCAGAAGTCCCTGCTGCTGCACTTCCGACAACTTCAAAGTCGCGGAAGTGGATGAGAATACAAGGGCCAGTCACAAGTCCCAGTGAATTGTTGTTATCAAAAACTACCCCTCTGCCCACTTCCGCCAATCCCAAAGATGCGGAAGTGAATCAGACAATACGTACCCGACCAGTGTCGCACTCCCGCTAATTTCATAGTCGCAGAAGTGGTTATGTGGTTATATGTTGTTATCACACCTTGTCCATCTCTCCACTTCCGCCTACAGTGAAGCCGCAGAAGTCCCTGCTGCTGCACTTCCGACAACTACAAAGTCACGGAAGTGGATGTGTATTTATCGAACACAAGTGCCACCTACATCAAAGTAGCAGCAGTCCCTGCGGTGTGCTGCACTTCCGACTACCTCATAGTTGCGGAAATGGATGTCTATTTATCAAATACAACGGCCAGTCACAAGTCCCAGTGAAAATGTTGTTATCAAAAACTAACCCTATTCGCACTACCGCGACCCTCGAAGTCCCGGAAGTGAACCGGTCCTTATCAACGAAGAGTACCTGGGACGTGTAGCACTCCCCACAAGTCCCAGGGACAAGTGCCAGTGAGGATGTTGATATCAGACAGTAGCTATGTCTAACCATGTCTCAAGTTCCGACAACATCCAAGTCGCGGAAGTGAATCTATCAATTGAGAGGACCTGAGCAGTGGGGCAGTTCCGCCAACTTCTGAATGGCGGAACTGGCTACATAGTTCTCAAACCCAAGTACCAGTGTCAAGTACAAGGGGATATGGTGTTATCAAAACCTAACCCTCTTTGCATTCCAACCAACCTCACAGTCCCCGAAGAGAATCAATTATTATCAATGAAGAGTACCTGAGAAGGTTTCCTCTTCCCCCAACTGCAAATTTGCAAGCCGTTGTTATCAAACAGGGTGTACACCCGCGAACCTCACAGTCGCGGAAGTGGTTCAGATGTTAGCAATCCAAAGCCGCAGTGAATCTGATGATATCAAAGAAGAGGACCTCTTTGCACACTCTTTGCACTTCTGCCAACTCAAGAACCCCGGAAGTGAATCCTTTCTTAGCAAACACGAGTACCTGAAACCCCAGTACCCAGAGAGAAGCCTAACAACATTCGGACAGACAACAGTATTGCATAGCTATTTAGGGTTAGGCTAAAAATAACAGTAACAAAGGCAGAGTAGGAGGGTTAGGGTTACCTCATCAAGACTTTTGGACCTTGGAAGTGTAGTGGATGAAAGGATGTTCACGTCGTCTTCTTTGTCTCTCCTCAACCCCACCATCTGAATCAGACCTGTGAGGGTCGGTGTCTTCATCCTCCGGACCAGTCCCAGATTCTGAGCTAGAGGACGAAGGGATCTTCTGGTGAACACGCTTGCCAGAAGGCCGTGGCGCACGGAACTCCCCCTCTTCCTCAGACTCTCCTTCCTCCGAATCGTCCACTTCTTCTTCCGCCTCCTCTTCGTCTTCTTCTTCCGCCTCCTCTTCGTCTTCTTCTTCCGTCAGGCTCGACCCAACACTTATTTCCCCATCCGCAGGATCAACACGATCAGTAGTGCCCTCGATTAGTCCTTGCCAACCTGCAGTAAGCTTGACTCGACACATCTCGACCGAATCTTGCACATCTTCATCCAATTCGACGTCAGGCGCAGGCTCCCCATTGAAATTGAAAGACTTGAGCGGGGTATCCAAGCAGACTTCAGATAGTACGTCTTGCAGAGCCAGTCGGGCGATGTTTTGAGATGTGACATGTTTAGCCCAGAATTTGGGAGCAGCCTCCCAATCGACTTTGTCCGAGATCCGTACGTGCATATTCGTCTTGACAAGGAGCCAACGAACAAAACTATCGATCCTGTACCAAGGAGTATCTTCAGGTCGACGCTTGATGAGGTGTCCATTTTTGTAGATCCAGTCTGATTTCCCTTTGGCCAGATGGACCAGGACCCATACGTCCTTTTGATTGTAGTGATGGGAGTCCGTCAGGAATTGCCACCATCCCGCCGCCCCGTACAGAAAAAAGATCGCCATTGATCCGAAAGCCGCCAATCGATCCTCTCCCCATTCCTTCATCGCCTTAGCGTTTTTCGTGTCTTTGACGTCCCCGTGTTTGTATAAGCTTTGTGCTCGCTTATTAGCAGACATATGTTGAGATACAAGCATGGTCTGGTTCGGATAGGTGCCGGTCTGGATACAGTGCTCCAGGTCTTGTTGGAAAAGGGACTGTTGCATCATGAGCACACACAGCAGAGTGTCCCATATCCGCTTCTGCAGTAACATCAAGCCATTACCTGTTCGAGCGTTGCCGTGATGAGCCGAGGTTGCCGCGCCAACTTTCAGAGATTTGATTTTGTTGATCACAAATCGACCAGCTTGGAGGGCAGTATCTTGCTTGAAAGAGGGAATGCTCTTGTCGACCGGTTTCTCCGAAGGTACCACATAGCGATGGAATTCGTTAAAGCTCGAGACCGTCAACGTGTGAATCTTGCGGAAGGCAGCCTCAAATAGTTTCACAGTGTTTGTGTCTTCGGTATAGTCAGCATAGTGGTCGACCCGGAGCATCATTCCGTACAACGTAATCCAAGAGGCGGCCTTGACTGAGTCTTTTGAATCGTGCGCCTTTTTGATAATAGATAAATCTACCGCTTCCTTCTTCCAGAAAGGATCCCCTGCATCCACCTGCAAAAGCCTTGGGCCTATGGCGGGTATCACATCAGGTACAATTAAAGATATGCAAGGCAGCAAAAAACTCACTTTTCATGATCAAACCAGGGAAATCCCCCTCAAATACTTCTAGAATCGCATCAGTCATATGAGGCTCAGGGGTGAACTGGGGAGATTTGGTGTAAAATTTGTCCGCCTGTACGTCATCTTTGAAAGTCAGTATCATATCCGCAACCAGGTCCATAAGTTCGGGTCCAAAGTCCCACTGAGGGTTCCTTGAATCTATCAGCATCTTCTTGTGGGCCCTGCGAGCCTCTTCACACTCTTTCGGTGTCCACATTGGAGCTAGCAGATCTACCAGGGCGGACAATGTGAACTCAACATCACTAAGTCTAAAGAATAAATAAGAGGAAGTGAACTTACTACCAGGCTGAGGCGGTATCGCATGTACAGAGTTAGCCTTCTCCTCCTTCCTAGCTTTTGCTTTCTCCTTCCGCTCCTCCTGTCGAGCCGCCTTCTCCTCCGGAGTCATATCCGCCAATTTCTTCTTGGGCGTTTTCTCGGCTTTCTCCTTGGCTTTCCCGTGGCCTTTACCCAATCCCTTGCCCCTGACTTTCTTCTTTGGTTCAGGCTCCGCCTCCATAGCCTCATCATCCAAGTCAGCCCCGGTCGGAGACACATCAGCAGCCTTTTGAATATGGCCACTCTTCTCCTTAGTATTCGTCGGAGATTTGAAGCTGCGTCCCTCCTTCTCAGAGGCCTTTGAAACCGGGTCACCAGATGTGTCGTCGACCACTGAGTCCCTTGCTGAATCCTTAGGAGGAACACCATCGGCCGAGGTTGCCAAAAGGGCCGTGGAAGACTTCCCCTTCTTTGGATGATCGAGTCGAACCGGCCTTGTCCCTGCCTGCTGAGAGGCCTTATGCACCACCCCGGACCTCGAGTTGGGGTCGTTCGACGAAATCGCTGGAGCAGGCGGTTGAGGGGCCTTATGCACATCACCAGACTTAGACGTGGGGCCAGTCGGCAGAATTCCGGGACGTGGGGAGGACGACAGACCAGGGGTAGGTACCGTATTCTTGTCAGAGGCTTGGGTGATTGGCAGCTGGATGTCTGTGACGCCGGGATCACCGTGAATGGAGTTATTCACGCCAGGGGCCCTTGGCTTGCTAGAAGACCCATGGTGGACCCCGCCGGCACCGATGGGAGAGTATGGCAAGGAAAGATTTGGTTGGAATTGGGATGTGAACTCCGATATGCTAGGCTGTCTGTTGACGGGAAACTTGGGCGCGATCCCAGCCAACAGGTCTTTATCAGGAATGTCTCGGAATGAGTAGGGTGGGAGATTCGGCTGAATGTACTGCCCAGGAGGAGCCGTTGAGACTAGTGAAAGATGTCAGCACACAATTAACCAGGAGGCAAACCACCCAAAAACATACCAGAAGGTCGGATTTTCTTGGCCAACACAGGACTAGCATCAGAGGCGGACTTTTCTGACGGCCCTGCCAGAATAGCCATGGAGAATTAGTACCAAGGGAAGACACCCGACGAGAATCCAGTTCACTTACTGCTGAGAATCTTGGACCTCTCCAGAACTGAAGAGCTTGAAGGATCGTTATCCTGCGGATCGTCCGTAGTCAAGTCAATAACTTCAATGGAGTCGGATATACCAGCGTTCTCCGCCTCCGCAATTTTTTCGTCCAATTGACTACAATATCTGGTCATTAATCTGAGGTGACGATCCTGGAAGCCATACGCCCCCGGGACCAACAAATGCAAGTCCTCTGCGCGAATCTCAGATACACTCGTTGATAACATTTCCTTCGTTCTCGAGCCTGCATTGAAGTATTGCCACGAGAAGACACAAATCAGTACTGCTGTCATAGGTGAGTATCCATAGCTACATACAAATTCGACGCATAGATTTCAACTGATCTATGGAGGCCGTCGCCAGGTTGGCCAGCATAGCATTATTGATTGAGCTGGTGGTCGAAGGAGTCCGATTCATCATACCTCTGTGTAGAGGAGTCGAGTCCGATGGGGAGTCAGTGGTCAAGTAAGGTTTTGGATTCTTCGGAGCGCCACGCCTGTTGGGATCATGTGGAGTCACGTCCGGGATATTGGGCATGGCCGCCACAGCAGGAGTCGACGAGGAGGATGTCTGAGCAGCTTTCCCTGACGACCCAGTCGAAAGAGCCTTAGTGGGAGTCGCACCTCCTCCAGGTGAGATATTAGGAAAACGATCTAGAAACGCCCTGCACTCGTCCAAGCTCATAAGTTCCCCGTTACCCACAGGCTGCAAACAACATAGCATAAACACAACCGGGGTCAAAATCACAGCCGAAGCAAGTGGAACACCCAGGAGAATCACCGGAGCACTTACAATCATGTTATCAGGTGAGTCCATACCTCTGGTGGCCTCCTCATGACGAGCCAACGCTGCCGCTAACAACTTAGAGTTGAATCGTTGGCCTTCATGGATGTGACGACCATTTGACTGATCCCGACGGCTGGCGGACTTCTGAATGACAACCTTGGGAGTCATCTTGCCCGAGCCAGAGCTGGTGGCCTTTTGGCCAGGGGACTTGAAGGACTTCTTTTTCAAGGCGGCCTCCACGGCATTTACCTGTCAGGGAGTAACATCGAGAAAGGTTAACATTAATTTGTGAGTGAAAGGACATGAGCAATCATTATGTAGCAGACACACGTTTTCAGCTGCCTGAGGTGTCAAAGTCTCATTCACGTGTTGCTCCTCAGCAGACCCGTTCTCATCCTCAGACAGAGCAGGATCAATAACAGCCCCATCCCTTCCGGTCCGTCTGAAGTCATCGGGAGTAGGGAAACGGTGGGCCGATTGAACGCTGGCTTTCGACTGGCACAAACGAGATCATTTTTCAGCCTCAATCGCAATATAGGCCAGTAGGAAAGTCGCTTACGGGGGCTTGCGCAGATGTGAGGCTTTGAATTTGTTTAGGCAACTTCTTTGGCGGCACCGTGACCCAATCAGTGACCTGCTGACCAGACTTGGCCCCCTGAATAAGCGATATATGTCAGTATGCAGTGTAGTATTTCGACCGACTTTGTGTACTCACCACTGGTGGTCCTTTGGGCTTAGAACTGCCCTTTCGATGCGGCCCATGCGCCCCCGCCTGATTCCTCATGATTTCCACCTTGTCACAAACGACTATTGGAGAAGAACAAACAATCAGACCGGAGAAATAGAGGTAGTACGTCTGAAGGCGCTTACTTTTGTTGAACTCCTTGCGTGCACGCTCGGCCATGGTGAACTCCTTGCGTGCACGCTCGGCCTTGGTACCTGGTCGATCCTTCGGACCAGACAACACGTTACCGACAGAGCGTCTTGGTTCTGAGGCGGGGGAAGTTGGGATATGCTGCGGGGAAGAACTAAACATAGGCTGAATGACAGATGGTGGAGGCTCGGTAGCAGGACTCGAAACGTTGGATGTATCGTGCGCCATTGGTAAGGTTCTAGAGATGAGGAGGAAGTGCGACTTTGGTACGATCGTACTTGGATTAGAAGCCGATAGTCGGTAGAGTCTTATCTTTTGAGGTGAAGTGGGCTCTGTTGAGGTGAGGTGGGCGGTCGGGACTTCAGAGTGAAGTTGAAAGTTGGTTGGGGGCAGACAGCAGAGGGCCGGCCGAACGAAACCAGCAAAAGGACCGGATCTAACCCCCGGGGGGTTAGGGTTCGTTATGCATCATAAGACATAATGAATAGACAGTTGCATGTGACATTTTGAATATGCATTTACTAGGCCCCAACAGTCGAGCCAAAGACATAATGAATCAGGATCATGTGACATTTTGAGAATGCATTTACTAGGCCCCAACATTCGAGGCCGACACATCAAATCAGGATCATCACATAAGCGACCCAAGGCAACATGAGATCAGCATCAACCGAGGCCCCACACAGCCCGCAAACTCCGTCATCCGATGAAGATCATCCACTGGACTGAATACCATCCGGGGTAGCCGATCAAACCACCTTCCCTCACCCTACTCCCATCCTCAGAAGCAGGGGAGATTTGAATCGGCAAGCATGTTACTGACCGTAATCCCCAATCTGATCAACAGAGAATCGGCCGAGATTTAGCCAGAACCACAGTGTCATCCCTGCAACCTTGTAAGCCATTGTATATACGACCAGAGATGGTAAGTCACATGTGACCTCCAGCCGGTCCCCATAGAACAGGATGAACAGAGCATCAGCACTGACCAAGCACGATCCCTACAGGCAAGGATAGGCCAACAAACCCTGTGAATGTTACGTCAGGAGAACAAAGTTGATTGAGCAAAACCGCGACACCCGCTCACCCCTGAGGTGTAACCCTGGCAGCCAACTGTGTGAGTAGGAGACAGTCACCCAGCCCAGATGCACATGCGATTGGACCTCGCAAGATCCCATCCGTAAGGAATCACATGTATATATCTATAAATGTAGCTTAGTCTGGAGGTATTTATTGAGACCAAGCCAGAACAGTCGAACCTCATCCATATTCCAGTCAACTATGGCCAGCCATACAGATCAGTCCACTAACCTGGTCAGTGTTCGCAATGTCAACATAAGTATACCCCAGACTGGAGCCTGCTCACCTTGCCGTTGTCATACCCCAGATAGTCTGCAGGAGCTGCCGCGAACACAACACAAGAAACCAGTGCGTATATGACGTGGATTCATCTACCTGCGGTCCTTGTGGAGCGATTGGTCTACCCTGCGACTTTGGCCCCTGTAAGTCACCTACCCAGAACGCGCACCAGACAAGACGGACAAGCTGAACCCAGTCATTGTTATCAGCTGGGCCAGACGACAGACACGCTGTAGACAGGATGCTAATCAGACGACTCATTCGAACATATGAGCAACTACGCCGAGTGAGGGCGCGTATAGTCCAACGGCAAGGGTACCATGGCGTCAGCTTCATCACTGACGTGTTACTACGGAGAATACTAGCAGAGGTCGCTCGACTGGAGAGAAGAGTATTTGACTTATCAGAGGACGAACTGAACCAGTGAACTACACCCTAACCCTTGTTTTGAGGTCACTCAACCCAAAACGTGGTATCTCCACAATCGTTCTCAATCACGAGACATTCCAGATCTTGGGAATACAGATGAAGTAGACCCATTCCTTATCATAGGCAGCCCACTGAGGGCCGAGTATCAAAATAACCAACCAAGTATTGGAATGACTTCCGCCAACAATAGGTTCGCGGAAGCAAAAGAGCCAATGTGTAAATCAGGGTTAGACTGTCACAAAAGAATGACGACGAAGCTGGCTACTATGAGGGAGACTTGCACTTTCATCTTGACAAGATCACTAAGACTTCCGCCAAAAAATCTTTCACGGAAGCAATTGACTTCAGAGTTATTTCACATTAAGACGAAGACGTCTTGTAGAAGGGGGAGTTAAAGTTAATTATCACCTGTTCATTAGTATTTCTGACAGCGATAGCTTACCAGAAGTATATAAACCTACAAGTCGTTGAGTCATTTACGACTGTGTTATAGGAGCTGATAGGAGTTTTCACATGACTGAGAATACAGTGAGATATTCTGACATGTTCAGTGTGAGTACCGACAACAGTACATTCGCGGAAGTAGAAGACATAACAAGTAAATCAAGGTCAAACGATGAGACCTGAGTAACATTCAGGAGGCACAATTTGAAGTCGAGTTTAAGTCTCATTATGACACGTTGATCTTAGTTCCGCCAATCATCATTTAGCGGAGGGAAAAAAACCAATATGTCAAGTGGACAATCGTGACCATCAGGCAGGAACATTCAGACCAGTTAAATAATTTCAGTTGAACTTCCGTCAACAGTCAGATCGCGGAGGTAAAGAACACACCATGGGTGATGAGTGTTTCCCCAAAAACGAAGGAGGAATACAGACGTTTTGGGAGTAATGTGCAAGAGAAATTTGCTTTCTTCAACAAGGGTTAATTCTCACTTCCGCCATCATTGAGTTCCCGGAAGCAAATCCAACCAGACGTTTTGACGTGACTAATAATGAACTGGGATGATGTCAAGGAGAATCGAAGAACCATATGACATAATCAATGTTACTCCCGCCAACAATAGGTTCCCGGAAGTAAAAGGCCAACCAGACGCTTTGGGAGTCATGTGAAAGAGAAGTTTGCTTTCTTCAACAAGAGTTAATTCTCATTTCCGCCATCATTGAGTTCGCGGAAGTAATTCCAACCAGACGTTTTGTCGTGACTAATAATGAACTGGGATAATGTCAAGGAGAATTGAAGAACCATATGACATAATCAATGTTACTCCCGCCAACAATAAGTTCCCGGAAGTCAAATACCAAACAATAACATTAGTATTTCTTGACTGATAGGTAGATAAATCCATAAGTTATGACTGGACTCATAATCCAGAGGGATACTATACATGAGATCTTCACCTTCAGTTGGAGCAGTTAAATTGAGCATTCCATTTGTATTAGACATAATATTGGGGACTTATAGACATCCATCACATAGACATCACATAGTTTGAAAGGACGAATGAACCGTGTGGTCCCACTTCGGGAATCTGAAAGGTCGCGGAAGTGAAACATCCTGGCGAGACTTACTTTGAATCACTATAGAGTTCAGCTTGCTGGGTAGGATGTTGTGAATGGAAAGCATGCACACCGTCATTTCACTTCCGGAATCTGAATCTGAAGCGTCGCGGAAATGAAACATCTTGGCATATGTGCGAAAGGCTTGTATTAAAAGCCGGTCTTGAAGGTGTAGCCAGATTAGTCAGTCAGTCATTCTACGGAGATATGAGAGTGTCATTTGATAAACTACACAGAAGGAGATGAAGATGTAACCCCAAGGTCTCAATTTCACTTCTGAGAACAGAAAGTCCCGAGAAGTGAAGTGAGCGCTTATGTCAAAGTGGGTAGGAGTTCCTAACCCCAAATGCATTGAGTAGGGTGAAACATTGTCAAATGGGTATGGTATGGGTGTGGGAAGAAAGATTGAAACCAATGAAGGAAAATGATAGATAATAAAAGAGAACACGCAAATGGATCCAGTAGAAAGCAAGACCAGTCGTTTTCACTTGGGGGAGCGACAGGAAGTCGAATTCACATCGGGCAAGTACAGGATGGCGGCGGACGATTACATGCTTCAACCCAAAATTAGAAACTACATAGATGGGAATACTCAAGACCTCTAACAACTTGTGCGTCTCCAGTCGTTTTCACTCCCGCAAAAGGAAGACGTGGTAGTGATGTGTTCAAATGAAAGCACTTGTGGACTCAAATAATCCCGAAGTAGAAGTTCTAAGTACAAATAACAATGGACAGTGAGCCGTTATTAACTGAACAAATTGATTACAGAAGCACATCTGGAAGGAGGAAGTTTCCAGGAGGGAACTGGAAACCTGGATGGAAAGGTTAACTATCAACTGATCATTTGTCAAAAAAACTGGTTGGGGAGTGAGATTGGATACAAGTTGGGATGGGTGAAAACGTCAGGTTGAAGATATCCCAATAGTGAATACAAATCTTCAATAAAAGGATGAAATGTATGGAATTGATTTTTCCCGAAGTGAAACCCAAAAAATAATGTAGAGAAATGAAGTTTATTGAAGTGAAACCCAAAAAATCACTAAAAGATACATCAGCAAATTACATCTGGGAAGTACAAGTTTCGACAAGTGGAGTGCATTTTTCTTTTGGGATGGAAACAACTAAAGAAAATATAATAGAAGGGGATAAATCAACATAAAAGATAATACATGAAAAGAGGAGATTGAAGGAAGGAGGTGATACATGAAGCTGTTCATACAACCAAACACATGAATACAGCCAAGAGAGGAAAAAGAAAATAATGTCTGCAGTTAAAGATAGCTTCTAAGAACAGATTGTATTAAGTTGGACTGAGTCGACAAAGTATAAGAAAAAAAACAACTAATTTTGAGGAAAGATAATTAAACAAAAGACAGGAAATGAGAAGGGGAAGGAGATGATATCCAATGGGGTTCTTGCCACAAAAAAGGATGGAATAGAGCCAAAGTTAATGGTATATTAGGGGGGTTCACAATTGAACTTCAGGGCCTTTTTTAAGGTGTTTCTGATCATAAATTTACAATTTTTTTGTGATGCACAGAAGGTTCAGAGACCAACAAATTGGAAAAACTCAAAAAATTCATGAAATGTTGCTCATAGACACCTTAAAAATCACTCTCAAGTTCAATCGTGAACCCCCCTATTATTTTGAAAAGTACAGTGGATAACTAATTAAGTGAAACAACATAATCACAAACAAAATTAATTGCAAATTCACTTCCAGCCACAGGAAATGATCAGGTCAGATATCATAACAAGGCCACAGTAGGGGCCCAAGATTATAGATACCATCCATGATAAATGAGGAGGATGAGATGAAACAAAACAGGTAACATATCAAACAAGATGAACAAGATGAAATAAAGTGTAAAAGACAAAAGTTAATCTGAGTGAAACAATGGATGGGGAGTTTATGATAATAGTACGATAAATAGGCAAGAAGAAAGAAATAGGACTAAGGTGACAAGAGATATGAAATGCAACAAAAACAAATCAAAATTAAACATAATGAAAGACCTCAAAGGGTTATCTACTTCCATTCAAATCTGAAGGTGTGGGTGAGGAGAATATCCAATTACCATTAACCTCAGTCATGATTACACTTGGGTTATGAAGGTCAGATGTCCCATTGGAAAGATGCCAAGAAAATTGAAAGAAAGGAATGTCTTTGAGACTAAAGGAGCTCAAACAGTAGAAAGAGGAGGAAGAGAGTGGTGGAATTTCAGGAGCAAGTATATCAAACATGAGGATTACAAATGCCAAGCCAATGAAGGGCCAATGAACGATGATGAACAAATGGATCATATTTAAACAAAAAAGGGGGGTAGAAAAGGTGAAATCACAGGTACCATGCAAGATGCCAGAGGGTAAAAGAAGGGACCCAAATGGATAGATGTGAATACGAAAGGGGTGCTGTAGGGGCAGGTGAACTCAATTGGGAAGGTAATATTGAATGGGATTGAAACATCAAAGGGCATACAATCAAATAAAACAATACAAATGAAATGATGGTAAAGTAATTGACAAAAAGAGATAGAGTAGAAGGAATAAACATCAATTGAAATGAGTACAAGGAAAGGGAAGAAAACATAATTGAAGAGAAGAAACCAGGGGGAAAGATAATAAAAGAAAAGAGGCAACAGAATAGGGGAGGAGGTGACATAGGATGCTATTCATGCTTGAATAGACATGGGTACAGCCACAAAAAATTGAAATTACAAAAGAAACTTAGAAAATACATGAAAAGATAGAGCAGGAGAGGGTGGTATCAATAGTGAATGGGCCAAGAGAAGAAATAGAAAATAATGTCAGCAGGAAACCACAGGTTATGAAGGAGGGAAATAGAATATAGTGAAACAATGCAAGTGGAATTCATGATGTTGGGGGAGATGATAACATCCCCAAACCTCCAAGTTCCCAGAGGTGAAATGTAATGTTCTTTAAAAAAGCCTATAACAAGTTTACTTCCAAAAAACTTTAGACCTCCAATAGAATCATCAATGAATGAATCCAATTGGAGAGTTGGTATAATTCAAGGGAGTGAAGTCCACTACCCATAATCTCAACATTTCAAAATTCAATGATGGACTGGCTGAAGTTTTCAAGAAGGAATGATATTATTAGAATGAAATGAACCCATGTGAATCCACATCAGGTAACAAACATATCCTTAAACTGAGAAGAAAAGTTGCATGAATGGAAGGAAAAGGATGTAAAAGAAGCAAAACAAAGCAGACTAAAGGAAAGAGAAATGTGAACAAAGAAGAAAAGCTATCAGCAGAGAAAAGTCAACAATGCAAAAGAAAAAATAACCCTAAGATCTATTATCACCAAAGACAAAATAAGAGACCAAAATACAATGGACACACCCTATTGTCAGTGTTGGTGAGGAAAAGGAGGTGAAACCACACAATTATGTATTGTATGGTAAAAATATGGTCCCACAAGTCATGGAATCTCTTCTGCTGGAGCCATGGGAGGTGTGAAATCAAATGTTGTAACCCTAGGCTAACCCTAACCCTGAGGTGGGTGCAGGCTAGGGTTACATGCTGTAACCCTAAGGCAAGTCAGTGAAGGGCTGGGCAAAAGAAGGAAAGAATGTGTCCAAAGGTCATCTTAATATTTTCTGGTGAGAGCTTAAGAGGTGCATATTAAATGTTGTAACCCTAACCCTAACCCTAACCCCAGCCTCTTTGAGTCCAATGCATGCTAGGGTTATGTCCCATAAACCTAAACCTACCCCTAAGTGGTACTAGATGGTTTGTAAGTCATTTGGGAACCCCTTTTGTTCATTGGTGCTACCGTGTCACCTCCTTACCAAAACTTGATTCAGTAACCCTAGCTCTCAGCGTCTGTGAGGTGGATACAACCTAGGGTTACGTCCCGTAACCCTAACCCTAACCCTAACCCTAAGGTGTCCCAAAAGTGTTTTTAGCTCATTTGGGAACACTTTTTTTCAGTGGTGTTACCTTGTTACCTCCTCACCCAAATTGGGTAACAGGCGCCACGCCCAGGGCCCTGCGGGCCCTGGGCGTGGCACTAGGAAGGGTATAGGCACAAGCTTGACGTCTATGATGGATTAAACCCGGAGAGAGAAAAGACCAATAGCTGATCATCAATAGCTGATCATCAATCCAAAGCAGGAATCACTGAGGAACTAGTCAAATATGACCAGTTCAGTGTTTGCTAGTCACCCCGGATCTGACCATCATACCAACCTGTGCTAGGTATCGGGAGTGTTGATCAAAGGAAGAATCAGATATATATATATATATATATATTATACTTATCTCAAGCCACCATATCAGCCTGGTTGATGACCGACTCCTAAACCCAGAGACCTCACTCAACTCTCACTGACCAACAAAACAAATCAACTAAAGATACCATTCCAGACCATTGTAAACAGTAAGTATCCAACCATTCATATAACAAATTGCCCTAACATCAGCTGACAGAAAAGGAGTCGATTGATTGCTCAGATGAAAAAGACCAACCCAAGAGACAAGGAATGGGCAGCCATCCAAATTTTGGAAGAGAGAGGTGGAAAATACTTGATCGAATGGGCAGGGATAGATCCATCCACCCAAAAACCATGGGCACCCACGTGGGAACCCAAAAAATTGGCGAACAAAGCTTTGGCCAGGGAATGGCAACATAAGAAAAGACGACAATCACAAGCTACTTTGCCCAACACCAAAGACAAGTCCAGCATACCAGTCGATTCCCCGAATACAACCCTCCCTGGTGGAGACACCCAAACTGAAGGTCAGTTCCACCCAGGCTGAATAACCAACTATTCCTCATAGCTGATATTCACCAACGACTCATCCTCAAAAAGGAAGCAACGATCTTGCAGAGGTCAACATACATATCAAAGCCTCCCAAGAAGACGAGCTAGAGGATGAGCTTATTCCCCTAGCAGAATTTGTGCCAGGTCAGTAAGGTCAATATTCCTCCAATCTGCTCACATCTCAACTGATCAACACCTTACAATAATGTAGCCCCAATCACAACACCAGAGCAGTACACAACAATAGTGGACGACCTACCCCTGCACGTAGTCCAAGCCGGTGAGTACCTACCCTAAAATCAATGAGTGTCAGTTTAATTGTGATCCTCAAGGAAACGTCCCCTACGACCATTACAGATCCTAATTTAAGAGGGCAACAAACTGCTATGTTTATTGTGGGGGACAACTGGGTGGAAATCAGTGGCCTCGGATTTATTATGGATCCTCGACTAACCCACCCCAACTGCTCCCAAGATAGGTTTGTCCTGAGCGGTAAAGCTTCCCCGAGAGACTGGCCAGATCACCTGAAGCAATTTTTCAGCTCCCAAGGAATAACTTTCCTATAATGTCAATTTATACCAGTGTGACTTCCTATCTGTACATCCAACCACTTGTCATTCATTATTGCACATCCAGAATGTCCATAAAGCGAGAAGTCAGGAGAAATCAAAGTTGTGACACAGAACAGTTTTTTTTTGCAGAATGTACATGCAGAGAATAACATATTAATACCTGGGCCTGGAAACTTGGTTCCAGCCAAGATGTTCCCTAGTTACTCCAGAAGGGCCATAATTAACCTCATGAGGCAAAGATGGGCCAAATAAGACTTGCATGTTACAGTTTTCCAATTGACATGGCATAATTTATGAGTAGTGTCTAGAGGCGGCTTCACCGACAGTAGTTTTTGTCTCAAGTTCAATTCAAACAACACCATGCTTTATTCACAAAACAAAACCAAGAAATAAAATTCAAGTTAATAGGCCATTTGAACATCCGGTACGGAACACGACTTTGTATTTTCTTCTATAAATATCATTTTATTTACTACATTTGTATGACTTATCACTAGATTATAGCAGAACTTAGCTTTTTTTTGGAAATCCACTGGTATGGCCCTAAGCCGCATCTTTCGCCTATGTCTAATAATTCTTCAGCAAAAGCCATATTTTCCCTGTTGCGAAAGTTTGTATTCCAATTAATTCCCAGACGAAGATTATCCTTGAGAGTGTGGACAGCCATATAGGGCCAAAGATTTGATGATTTTAAATGTTGTGTCTGCTGATCTCTGATAAACCCCTGACTTCACCACAGGCAGGGTGAGTCTGCCTAAAATCGCCCAAAACTATTACACTCTTGCCACCGAACCAATCGTTGGTGTTCATTAAGTCTTTGAGAGTTCCGTCCACTGTTTCAATTGCATCTTTATGCATTGCGACGGCCTCATCCCAATTAATCAAATCTGCCAGTTGTAGAATCTTTCCTATCCTGGGTCTTTTGCATTTGCAAACCATTCCTGGGATCAATGTGAGCCACTGACCTCCCTCGGTATAAATACATTGTGCCCCGGACCTCTCAAGGCGTGCTTTTTGTACCTCCCTTGAGTCCTTTCATCTGTCTACATAGGCCTTCTCCGACACCATCCGCTTATCAGATGACAATGATTGCGAGACCGCTTCAGTATGATACCGAGCCGCACAAGGACAACCTCATATCCCAAAAACTTGGCTGTAAACGTGGGAGTGGGTTGAGTAACTCAATAATGGATTCACCTTATCATTTTAGAGGCACAATGGGCACCGGTTTATTTCTCGGAAGTGGCAAGTCACTCGCCAAGCAGGTCCTAGTGGGACTCTACTCGGCTATATCCTGATGGGTACACATGACTTCACTCACCTTTAGCATTCTTGCAAGCAAGACTTGCAACAGTTTAGCTTACTGACTATCTTACTATGTCAATGATATCCAGGGGCTGTTGTATTCAGCATGCAAGTTGCATTGGTAAGGGAGTTTCCAGTGCCAGGTTTCTTAAATTATCATTGGCAGCTGATGTTTGGTTTATGTATCCTCGGGGTGAAATGGTGACAATTTCTCCAGGTCAATTATGATCTTCAATTAGAAAAAAAAAAACAGACATAATAAAAACCTTTAAATTTTTCGATCACATCGGTATATACACATAGAGTTAACGCTGGCGATTGGTCTGCAGTAAGCTGAGCGATTATTTGATCCGGCAATGGGTTTTGGGTATATATGTAGTATTATTATTCCTAGTGAAACTTTCCTTATTTGAGAAACAACGAAAGTTTCTTGGTATTGACGTTTTTCTGGTTTGATGTTTGATGTAAAATTTGATGAAGTTGGTGTTAACATGTGGTATGATCCGATTACTTTTGCATTCAACTTGAAGCCATTATCAAAAGGTGATATTGATCCTCTGCTACTGAAAAAGGTAAATGTAGAAAAAAAAATATTCGGTCTAAATGATCTTCTTATGAAACAACCTTCCAAAAAAGATGTGACAAAACATGGAAAAAGGAAAACAAACAAAGTATTCAAGTAAGAAAAACAAAGAAAATTGGAGGCACATTTGGGTGGAGGGACTTTATGGAAAAGATAAAAGAGCGAGGCGCGTGGACGGGTTAAGTCATGGGTCATGGTGAGGGCCTGGTGGAGGGGTGATGTAAACAGTTGGGAAGTAGCCAAAAAAGGGCATTGAGAACAGGGCATTGTGACTGGGTCGGCAATTGAATGCATTAGGTTACGTCATGGATCATAGGGAAGGCCTGAATGCAAACAGCCTAATGATTGGATAAGGCACAGAATTAGGGAGTCGAAAAGGGCGCATCGTGGCGGATCAGGAAGAAGGGTTGATGCAAATGCGCCGACAATGAGAAGATTAGGGGCGGTGCAATTGGATCAATGGATTGGAATCGGGGGTAGGGATGAAGACAAAAGAGCGAGAAAAGGATTTAAGAAGGCCCTGAGTGGCGGATGGGGTCTAGTCAAGGTGTGCAGGTTCAGTGCAAGAATTAATGTCTTGTGCGCCATCGCTAGTAGCGATACCTGTTACAGAGCACCGGTTTGAGGTTTTATGTTAAACTTTTTAATGATGTTTTGAAGGGAGAGTCGGTGCATCAGGACGTGTACCAGGTTGCAAAACGAATAGGATTTTGCAGCCCTTTGCCAGAAAAATTCTAAATAATTTATATAAGCGTCAAAGAGCGGAGAATAGACCAATGAACCCATTAATTTTGATAACTCGACCAGTCATATAGACAAGATAGGCAAAACGGCTGTGAGCAAAGAAATCAGAAAGGTGAAAACATACAAGAGTTCACTCTACCCAACATATGACAATACCCCCCGGATGGCCAAAACATACACCAACCAAAGATGATTGTTGGAAACAATGGCATCAGTCAAAGGTGGCCCGACAATGAAGATAACCAAAAATACATTGCAGATTATCCCATTTCTTCCAACACCCTCAACTAGTCGCGTGATCAAAGGAGAATACGCGACTGAGAAGATAGCCAAGCAAACACAAATGAAGAGCAGAAGCGGGGTAAACCAAGCAAGTCTGCTACATGGAAATAATCAAACTTGTGACTGCACTATGATAGCTGCACACGACAAGGCATGAGTCTTGCTTCAGAATACAAACATCACGGACCGAAACCTCCTGTTTAATTGAGTGTGGTAAGCAATCAAAACCCCATGAATGAGAAGCTTATGAGACTCAATGACGAGACTATGTATGCAGATTCATGGCCAATCAGTGAACATCACTACACTACGGCCAGCGGGGCAAACAATCAGGACTTCAGGCAGAGTGGGCCCAAACAAGGAACCGAAATGGGGTACAGACCAAGAAGATACCGACAGGAAACCTCGTTCGCTCATAGGCTGAACTCAACAAAACAGTCGCGTGAACCCACGAGCCCACGCGACTGACAGATAGCCCACACGACTGACTGTTGGACTCACCAACTCACTGTGAAGATAGCCAAGCAAACATTGCATACAGCCCATTTTGGCCGGACTGCCCGTTTTGGCGGCAGTCGCATGAACCCATGGGCCCAACTGACTGTTGGACTCTTTGACTCACCATGAAGATAGCCAAGCAAACATTGCAGACTGCCCGTTTTGGCCGAAATCACCAAAACATTCGCGTGATCCGTGTGCCCACGCGAATAAGGTGAGCCACAGAGAGAATAATGTTTTCGTCCGAAGTCACCAGATCTGTTGCGTGAAGGAACAAGCAAGCCCACTCGAATGGCCTGATCACTCTGCAGAGTGCATGCAGGGAGCATGAGATAGACAAACCATCAACCTTTGCACTATCTACATGCCCACCATAGACACATAAAAGCTCAAACAGACAGTAGACTATGATGTTCGATGCTCCAAACATACATAGTCTACTATCAAAGCCACTGGTAATAGCATTACTGAGCAATAGCATCATTACTGTACGATTGGAATACAATCTGATTGACGTAATCACAAAGAATGATCAGTCACCATTTTACCAGGACTGCAGAGTGCATGCAGGGAGTATGAGATAGACAAACCATCAACCTTTGCACTATCTACATGCCCACCATCGACACATAAAACCTCAAACAGACAAACACAGTGAAACAAACAAGCTAGCTGACCCATCAGTCCGATTGAATGACACGAGCATCTACCAGCTGATGTAGCCCCCATGCATCCCTCTGGACCTTTTGCCAAAATGTAGAACACTCGGACCAACCAATACCTGCCCAAATGCTAGGACCATCCGATTAATCAAGACCAAACGAATCATCCCAACCCCAAATCCAACTGATTGATCTCCCAGAAACCACCAAATCAATTACATTAAAAACAAAAATAACCAACACACCTCATCTAAATCCTGTTGACACGAGCCCAACCCCTAGTGTACAGTCTCAAATTTATATTGTAGCCTACCAGACCAATTGAACTAGAACTGACTCAAGAATAATTACCCATCCACAGTTCCCCAGGGATTGCTCCATCGATCTAGATCAAACCAAGATGACTAGCCCCACTAAACAAGAGAGGCCCCTGCTGCCATTCTCCACACCCCCGAATGTCACTTCACCAGTGGACTCGCCTCCTCTAAGATACAACTTACCTGGATTTGGCATCGTTGAGGAGATCCAAACCAAGAAAGTGAGTATTGACCAAGAAATCTGAAAGAGATCCAACAATCCTAACTAGTTAAACCGTCAGGACATCGGAGAAAAATCAGGACCCCTTGGGAAAGGCCCAAATCGACCAACTGGCAAGGCAAAGCCAAGCCTCGGAACTGAATGGACCCATGTCCCTAAGAGGCATTCTGCCAGGATTGAGAGGGAAAAACAAACCAACAAAGTAAGCTTATATGCACACTCATCTAAACCATGTAAACACCTTAGGATGAGACGGACTGATCCATGCTTCACACACAGCCCAAAGTCAAAGCCACTCGACCCAACGCAAAGAAAAAACCCACTGCAGAAGATTTTCGGACTACACATCACGATGCGATGGACATAGACCCCCAATTAACCAAAAATGGGCCAGCCGATGATGAGCCCGAACCATCCAAAGAGGTCACCAAACGCCAGGACCAGACTGAACCACCCAAGGGAGTCACCAAATCGCCAGACGAAAACGACCCAAAAAAGCCTTTGAGCCCAAAGGTGATTAAGATTCCTTCGTATTGATCAATTCATCCACGATGATTACACAACAACAAAAGTTGACCCTCACCCTACTCTCATCCTTGAAAAAAAAAAACAGAAAACAACTCCCAAAAAAAAGAAGACCCAAGGGAAAAAAGTCATTCAAAGAAAAAACATGTACACGACCTCGGACAGCGAAGAAAGAACAGGACCATTTCACTCGTCCGAATTAGAAGAAGGGAAATGGTATGACAAACATTTACCAATGGCCAACCCCAACAAAGAAGAATCGATGGAAGAGGAGGAAGACACTGGAGTCCAAGAGATGTGGGAAAACGGCTTCATTGTGAGTCTTCATCTGGGGTTTTTTTGAACATCAAGCGTGGGTTAGCATAGCTAACCCTCACATGGCTAATCTAGGCAGTGGCCAACGGAGAATGGATGAACAAACAACAATTCAACTCAGCCATCCAAGACTATCCTGACCTGATGTTCAATCGCGACATCCCAATCCAGTTTGGTAGGATGGCCAATCAGATGAAGACCCAACCAGCCCACACCCAAATCCAAAGAGCGGTCAGTGGCCTGTCTAGACCCAAACCACCAGCCCACGCCAGAGCCGACAGATCATCTGAGCCTCAACTAGCTTCTTCCATCCAGCCTGAATCCACCGGAATCCCAAAACCGCAGGAAACGCAGGAAACAAAAGATCCCCTGAATGACGTTGAACCTCCAGCCAAAATATATCCAGAATCGTTGGCCCATGTCACCCCACACCCCAGCCGAAAACTCTCTCGAATGCCTTCAACTACCACAACCATTGGAGCCGCCCTGGGTATCCCCAGCCTTGCCAAGGCATCACTCGAAGAGATGAAAGACATGCATTCCATATGTAAGCACCCAATGAATCCCAAACAACAAATCCCAAGTCGGAGGCACTCACCACTCCCAATTTCCAGGGAGCCGAACCAGGGATCACCTGTGCAAATCAATGGAAGAATTGAGAATCGGTGGACACCACATCAAGACCCCTAGCGCTTATGATAATCTGGCTTCCCACAATAGTCTGGTCGACATCTTTTGCAGGCGGTTACAAGGGAGAATCCAGGACGCAGAAAAATCCGGAATCTCCAAGGAAATCGAGGTTGTCGACTTGATTGACTTGACCGGAGACGATAACGACTATCCTAACAGCTGCTTAGGTGAGCGACGACTCAAGCGTGCTAGTCGTAAGTCACCTCATCTACAGTCATTTCTCAACAGAGCCGAGGCTAACCGTAACCTCTGATCTCCAAGGCCTGTCTGATATCGAAGACGAAGACGAAAGCCCTGTCCAGACCAAGAGGGCACGAAATTCATGTATGTCCTCATATAATATTCATCAAATGACTGAATTAAATCAAACTGATATTCATGCCAACGTGATTGCTCAAACTCAGCCCAACAGATTATCTTGTCGGAGTTTACATCCAATGACGGACCACCCAAGATCATTACCTCCAAGCCACCCCAAGACAACAACCAATCTGAAGCAGCTAGCCATCCGAAGACCACCGAATTCACTGTCTTGTATCAAAACCCGCGGCCAGAAACCCGACCGGAACCACCTCGACCTATGACCAGATCATCCACAAGAAGCCAAAACACCAAGTCATCCAAGGATGTTCAACCTCCAAAAGAAAAGTCCATCTCTACAAAAGAACCATCTGCCCTGCCAAACGAACCGTCTCCCCTGCCAAACGAACCATCGACCGAGTCAAAAGAAGCCACATCAACCAAGGGGAAAAAAAAGGCAGGAGGAAGAAAGAACAAGAAACAAGAGGAAACTCCAGAGGCTCGAAAACAAAACCAGGAGGAAAGAAAAAGAAAACGGGAAGAAAAGAAAAAAAGTCCTTACAATGATCCCCCTCAACCAGGGAGTAAGTAGATCATTGAATCATAAATGGCAATAGTTGACGTAGTAAGTAACTGATCATCTGATCCATTTAGCATTGTTAACCAAAATCAGGAAGAAATCGGAAAGCGTGAGGATGCACAACCTCTACTCGACCATGCTGGAAATGTCTCGAAATCCCCAATGGGATTATGGCCCTGAATTAATGGAACTAGTTGCCGACATGGTCCAATGGTCAGCAGGTGACACAGAGTGCGACGAATTTTACGAAATGCCAGAATTATTCACCCCCTCAGTCGAGGCCATCCAGGCGTTAGGAGTAGCTCATGACCCAGATTTCAGGCACTGCATCAGTTCAAGTGAGTATTTCAGTTGCATAGCTAGCAATAAGAGGATGGCTGACTCAGAGACACATCCAAAACCGCAATCACAGACCCCAGGTTACTGCAGCTGGGCGCTAGAGATCCATTCTTCAAGCGGGAAGTCTTCAACATAGAGACAGTCAAACAAGCCGCAACAACCAACGGCTCCTTCAAGTGCGCCTCTTGGAAGAGTTTGTACAGTATGATGATTCGAGTCGACGCCCAAGACGATGCACAGAAGACCCAGAGA